ACAAGTAATGCGCATGGGATTATGCATTAAAGCTTAACAACACATTGACAGTGTAAAGATTGCCGTTTGATATTTATTTCTAATATAGCTAAAGCATTACTTGACAAAATATACGTTATTTTACAGTAGATTTACCTCATTTAAATGTGTGTGTCTATTTCACAAAAACCTGAAGCATTATTTTCAATATTTTATGCTTAACGGTATCGTGGTTGTCATTATTATGAGCAGTAACAGAGATCCGTTTCGGGAGGGAGCGAATGTTAAAAATTTTTCTCAAAGTGGAAGTTTTGACAACCAAAATCCGCCATTACCGCCATGTTTTTGACCACGGGGTCCAGGCCCCTTTGCCCCTCCAGGTCTTTTAGAGCTCAATGTTTTAAACACCTTCATTATCCAGCGTACGTACGTTGGGCGGCTATTACCATTGAGTTCTATAATAACTGGAGCGGCTATCTTTACTGGGGCGAGGCAGTGAACTCCATATATATATATATATATCTGGAATGATAACGACAATACATTTTATAGATATAAAATTGAAGCCAAAGTCCTAGTCTCTTGTGCGGTTTGTACGTCAGTTCCAGTCCTTCAAAGTCGAATATTCACGCGGTTTGTACGTCAGTTTCATTCCCCTGAGTGCCAAACATACACGGCCAATATAAATTTGAATACAAATTGCGAAAGCTTAAACGTATAAACAACATCACGACAAACAACACACGAGGCCAACTCCTTGCAAAAGGTTATTTTTTACAGCTGAAACTTTACTACAGTGAGTTCGTTGTAACTCACAACTTGTAACGAGGAAAAGCCAAATGAAAATTACACTGTATGCTAAAAAGGCAATACAATAAGAAAATATGACGAGAAAATATTCAAACATAAACTTTTCTTTCGTCCGAAGGTAAATTTTCAAACGGAGTGTTTGTCTTTTTTTGTCATTTCATTGGATTTAAAGATCAGTTTTTCCGAAGAAAAAAGAAACTTGAATATCCAGTTTCATAAAAAATATTGAGTCTATAACTCGCATTTTTACTTTTTACAGAGCGATTGTATTTTTCATCGATTTTTATTGTGCTTGAAATACTACATGGTTGTCATCTCGATATCAATAATTGAATATCCTTAAAGATTTTGATGTTTAAGGCGATCGTCCAGGTTGGTATAGTCCTGAAGGACTGTTTTGTTGTTGTTGACTGATTTCGACAACCTAGCGGTAGTCATCTTCTTTTGATTTATTTGACTCTGAAGATGACTACTGCTAAGGTTGTCGAATAACAACCTCAAGATTCATAAACATGTAACGATACTCCCGGGTTCAAACCATTTACCTTAAAGACTTTGATATGTTTAAGGGAAAACCGCAGCGTAAGAGCAGATCGACTAAGTTCACCTCACCTTGCTTCTCGATTTATCACTTTGATTCACTTTCCGTGAATCTTTTCATTCCAAAAATTTAGTTATTTTTACGCTCTGATCAAGATCCGAACTCTACCATTACCAAGGGACAAATGATTAAGAAATATTAAAATGAACACGCGAGAGACTAGAGCCTGACGTGTAATGACGAATGATGACGACAAATATTTTTTTGGCTTCAATTTTTGGCTTCGGTTATCATTCCAGTTATTCAAATGTCGAGTTCACTGGGGCGAAGTCGCCAAAAAAATGGCGGCCAACGGACGTAATTCCGCTGAAATGATTGCTTTGCAGAAAATTAATATTCTCGACCTCCCCCGGATTGATGTTATTGATTTTCCCGCCTTCAGTTGAAAATTTCAAATGCAATTGCGAGCTGGATGATAAATAAACAATATTTTTCTAGGCCAAAACAATATTTTTTTCAAAAATGCCTAATCGATGTTCAATCGTAGAATGTCGTAATGTTGACAACACGAAGGACATCGCTTTTCACAGGTGAGTTATTCGCTTATTTTGTTTGTTCCTTAAAGATTGAATCGGCATTTATACAATTGAAAGCCCCAAAATCTGTTAGGCCTTATGAAAAAACATTCTCTTAAATACTGCATACACTGATGTTTTCCAGTGGGTTTTTTTACAAAATTCAACAATTTTTTTTATTTATTTCTTGAATCAACGCATGAAGCAATAAATTTACTAATCTATTTCAAATAGTTTTCCTGACGAAGAAAAACACCCTGCACTTTTTTCGGAATGGGTAAATAGTATAAAGAAATGGTCGCCTCTCACAGTTCTAACTAAGTGGAGCAGAGTTTGCTCAGATCATTTTCCGATAGCATGAAGAGAATATCAGGTAACAAAGTGTGTCTAGAAGATAGTGCCGTGCCCACATTATTTCAACAGGTGCAGGATGTTGAATGCACGGAGAGCACTGAAAAGGTGAGTGGTCATTTTTCTATTCATGATCACTCATTGTCTTAAGTCTCCCAGGAGACTGAAAAGACAATTGGAAGATGTTATAGACCGGGCAGAGTCTTATAGAAAGAGGTTAAAAGTGTCTAATAAGAAAAAAGTAGACTGAAAAAGAAGGTAATGATTTATTGTCAATCATTGATTGCCTTAAAGATGATAAAATGATCAGCTCTGATCAAGCTGAACTTCTTAATGCTTCACTATCTGGGGTTCCTGAAGATATTTTGAGTCGTTTAGTGGCAAACACTCAGGGTAAACAAGGTGCTCAATACCCCAGAATTGCAAGCTTTTGCACTAACTTTGAAATTTTACTCGCCTAAGGCTTATGATTATGTTCGTGAGAAGTTTAATTTAGCCTTACCTCATCCAAGAGTAATTCGATCTTGGTATAATTCCATGGATGGTGACCCTGGTTTCACCAAAGATGCCTTGAATGCTTTGAAAGTGAAGGTTCAAGAAGCAAAGAAAGATGGCAAGGAAGTCATATGTGCATTGATGCTGGATGAAATGTCAATCCGCAAACACGTAGAATGGGATGGTCAAAAAGTTTGTGGTTATGTTGACCTTGGTACTGGGATTGATGATGATTCACTCCCTGAAGCAGAAGTTTTGGTATACATGGCTGTTGCTCTAGATTCATCCTGGAAAGTACCAGTTGGTTACTTCTTGGTAGATGGCCTCACTGCAGAAGTAAAAGCAAATCTAACCAAGGAGTGTTTGATGCAGTTGCATGATGTTGGTGTTAAAGTTGGAAGTTTAACGTGTGATGGTCCATCCACACCTTGCAATGATGAAGTTGCTTGGAGTGAAACTTTCACTTAATGATTTTCAAGCATATTTTTACATCCATCTGATTTAATGTTGAAAATTCATGCATTTTAGATCCTTGTCATATGATCAAGCTTGTCAGAGGAGCAATTTCTGAATTGAGAACTCTGAAGGATGAAAAGATGGTTTGGTAAGATGGCAATACCTAGTTGAGCTAGAAAACTGCAAGCCTCAGAAGGCTTGCGACTTGCCAACAAACTAAAGAAAGCTCACATAAACTGGAAGCCACAGAAAATGAAGGTAATTTAGCAGTGCAAGCACTCAGCTCGAGTGTTGCAGATGCTTTAGAGTTCTGTGAAGGTAAGCTCAAACTTCCACAGTTTAAAGGGTGTGATAAAACAGTCAAATTCATTCGAGTATTTGATCGCTTGTTTGACGTTTTGAATTCCAGGAATCCAATTTCTAAAATTACAAAGCACCAATAAGGAAAGCGAATTACAAGCTGATAAAACCTTCTTGGATGAAGCAAGGCAATACATCTTAAATCTGAAGGGTGCTGATGGAAAGTCGATTTTTCCCATAAGAGGAAAACAGGATTCTTGGGGTTTCTGTTGTGCATTGAAGCAGTGCAAGGGCTTGCTGAGGATCTTGTTATAAGTGAAAATTCTCCCTTAAATATTTGCTTACTTATAAGACAAGTCAAGATCATTTAGAATTGTTTTTTCAGCTGTGCGAGCGTCAGGAGGTTGGAACAACCCGACATCTCGACAGTTCAAAGCAGCGTACAAGCAGCTGTTGATGCGACATAACATTAAAGGAGGTCATGGAAATTGTGTTGCTCAGGATGGTACCGAAATTCTAAGTAGACTAGAAGATCGGTGTGAGAGTGAACAAATGTCGGCAGATATTTCCGATGTAAATACTGCAAGAAGATACGATCTAGAACTGCGTGGGCCAGAACAAACTGACCACGATTACAGCGACACCTCAAACTACATTCAGCTTTCAGACTACAAGGAGGCAGCAATATCGTATATTGCTGGCTATGTCGCAAAAATGGTGAAAAGGAAGATCCATTGTGATGATTGTATGGATGCTCTGACATCATCAAAGAGAGCACCAGAACTATTTGTGGCATGGAAGAGCAACGGTGGTTTAAAATACCAACTGACGATCTTCTGAAAGTGTGTCAGGAAACAGAGAAATGTGTAATGAGGATGGTGAATTCCTGCCATGGTGGCGCCACATGCAGCAAACATATCGAGTGCAATTGCTGCGACGGTATTATCTGTGTGTGTAGAGAAAAAAGGTTTTAGCATGTTAGATGAGCATGTGTTAGAGTCGACAGTTACAGATAATCATGCTTATAAACTGATAAAGTGTTGTGCTGAGGCATTTGTGAAAATAAGAATGCATCACTTGACCAAAACGCAAAACGATAAGTTGCATAGTCAGAAAATTCGTAAAAGCTGTCTGCTTGTGTTGTTCAATCATCAGTAGATTGAACGTTGCCTGGACACTATTGTGTTTTCGAGGCTTTGCCTGTGCCTAGAAATGGAATTTTTCATTTGACTATTCCATTTTTGAGGCTGTAGGCGTCCTGGCATAGCAATATGTGTTCGAGGAGAAATTTAATGGTGCCTGCACATTTGTGTTCGAGGCTTAAAAATGTAACATGAAATTATAACCTAGTTTACGTAAATAAACAATTAAAAAGAATGAAAAGTAATTCGAAATGCAAGTCTTCTATGTGAGTATTCCTCTACAACATAGTAGAACATAGAACCTATAGCACAATATTCATTTTGAACTATTTTTTATACAGAAAAATACTCAACAAAACAGCCCAATTGAACGACATAAGAAAACTATTTTGTGGTCCTAACATTGATAGCACTTTCAATCAGATCGAGCGTTGTAGTAAGTGCTTTTTTCAAAATTAAACCAGTCTGTCAATTGATAAATGCATTGTTAAGATTCTTTTAAAAATAAACGCTACTCAATATTAAACGCACGTGTTTCACTTACAGGTGACATTATGAATATTGCCGGGATGATCTGCATGCGGAAGTCCTTGAACAACGTTCATGATGCGTAACATTTTATCTTTAACATTTTTTTGCTCCTTATAGTTCAACGAGTTCACATTGTTTATATAGTTTCTTGACTTGTAAAAAGCCAATGGTTAAACTTCGAATAACTTGAAAAAAAAATTTAGAAGAATGTTACTTGAATTCGGGGTGTGACTTGAGTCCCGAGAATGGAGAGGGGAAACGTTGCAGAATTTGATTTGCCCAGCAATAACGTAGTGTAATTTTGTTTGTTAATACCAGCAAAATCGCCTTTTTACTTAGTTATGAGTTGATCCAAACGTCATCGCTAATATTTGCCGTTTTAATTTCCGAAAAATTACATGCTTTGCTCAACAAAACTGTTAACTTTTTGAAGGGGAGAGGCTGAGCCACCACATACAATCCCCTCTCCAGGATTTACACCCCTGTTTCAACGTTACTGATACAGCAATTTACGATTTGTGCACGCTAAATTTACATGTATATTATCATAGGAATCATCTCTTACAAACTATAAAAAACTTTAAAATTCTATGCAATATTTAGTTCTTCATAGTTAAAAAAAAGTTTGATTTGTTAACCAATCAGAATACAGCATTAGCGTTTGTCATTTGCATTTTTTTCCCGCTTTTTTTTTAACAAACTATAAATATTTTTAAAACTTGTCTGAATTTTCCTTTGCTTATTTCTTGTTTTTATTGTATTTGCCAACTTTCTTTTGTGGTCCATGGATGAAGAAGAGGTTAGTACAGATCAATAATTTAATAATTTCTGATCTGAAAAGCTTCATAAGAAGCTTTCAGCATGGAAGTAAACAAAAAGTCATTCATTTACATGGTTTAAATCCCTTCTTGCAAAATATCTATTTACACTTTATCGTTTTTTGCATACAAAAATACCAGATGCTAGATTATACAGATGAGGAAAAAGCAATGGACACTGGTATCAAATGTGTATAAATATTGTTTTTGTTTTGAAAACTGAAAATCACTCAAATAGTTCAATTGCATTCAAAACAGGTCAGGGAAGTGAAAAGAAAGATGACGAAAATGCAAGTGTGTATTTAGCCAAAAATGGTTATACTGTTTAATGATTGTTTTTTGCATTATTACACAATACATCAATGCATCAAATGTGTACTAAAATCTACTACTATTTGAGGTGTCCAATTCTGAAAACCAAAAAAATAAAGAAGGTAAACAGTGCTTTGTATACAATACTGTTCTCATTCATATATGATATATGCCCATCAGCTCTCTCATGATACTTTTGTACTTTTGTCTTTTCACCTGAGCCTTTTCACCTGAGCCTTTTCACCTGAGTCTTTTCACCTGAGCCTTTCAACCGGAGCCTTTCAACTGAGCCTTTCACCTGAGTCTTTTCAACCTGAATCTTCACCTGAATCTTTTCACCTGAGCCTTTCACCTGAGTCTCTTTCACTGGAATCACCTGAATCTTTTCACCTGAATCTTTCACCTGAGTCTTTTCACCTGAGCCTTTCAATCGAATCTTTCACCTGAATCTCACCTGAATCTTTTCACCTGAGTCTTTTCACCTGAATCTTTCACCTGAGTATTCACCTGAATCTTTCACCTGAATCTTTCACCGAACCTTTTCACCTGAGCCTTTCACCTGGTTCAAAAGGAATCTTTCACCTGAATCTTTCACCTGAATCTTTCACCTGAGCCCTTTCACCTGAGTCTTTCACCTGAATCTTTCACCTGAGCCCTTTCACCCTGAGTCTCTTTCAATTCCGAATCTTTCACCTGAATCTTTCACCTGAGTCTTTCACCTGAGCCTTTCAATCTGAGCCTTTCACCTGAATCTTCAATCTGAGGCCCTTCACCGAGCCTTTCACACCTGAATCTTTCACCTGAATCTTTCACCTGAGTCTTTCACCTGAGCCTTTCAATCTGAATCTTTTCAAATTGAGTCTTTCACCATGGTTTTTCATCTGAGCCTTTCACCTGAATCTTTCACCTGAATCTTTCACCTGAGTCTTTTCACCTGAGTCTTTCACCATGAGTCTTTTCACCTGAATCTTTTCACCTGAATCTTTTCACCAGAGTCTTTTCACCTGAAATTTAATCATACACATAACAAATCAAACAGCACCTAACAAAAAAATTGGTTTATGTAGAAAGCAATGCCAAAGCAAAAAATTCATTTAAAGGTGTGGTATAGTGTATACATGTACTAATTGCCTTTGATGCCAGGCTGATAATTGCCATTGTTTTTTTTAATGAAGGAAGATGCTATAATTGTGGCCACAAAGGCCACAAAATGAATGAATGCGAGAAAAGTAATGACAAAAATGAAATAACATTTCTTTCATGACCAACAATTGACAATTATATACTTTTTTGTATAGAGTTTAATCGTATGAGAAGAAGTAAGTTTGATTGATCTATAGTGATAAAACATCAGCTTTGATTAGATGGTTGAAAACTTCAAGTTGCATGCATTATTGTTACTGTGAAATAAGCTAATGACACAAACAAATAAAAAGTGTCATGAACTACAACTTTATGAATATTTAACAGGACGACGTTGCTATATGCAAAAGATTGGGCCATGCTGCTGCTATGTAGTGGAAGGAAACCTTACTCAGTCAAAACGTGCTGAACAATTGCAGCAACTGTACAATATACCTTACAAGGAAATAAATTTTAAATATTTTTTGTCATTTAGTCATCTTAGCAGAAATACAAAAGATTATATATTGTTTTTTCTCAAAACTTCATTAAAAGAAAATTTTTACGGTAAATATGTAACTTAGTCTGATTGCACTAACATACATTACCACATTGACATAAATACATCAGAGTACCTTTAAGAGTTAAGTAAAGAACAAATTTGAAGAATCAAGACATCTTGAGATGTAAAATGTGAATCAAAACAAGACTGAACTAAAATTTCATTTTTCAAAGTCATCCACAGACAGAATGATAATCCAAACCATGCATACACATATATAAGAAATGGTTTGTTAACACGGGACTTAAGGCAGCAAAGAATTACAACTCTTCTCTTAAATTACAATACACTCATTCAATCAGTCTGGTCTCTTGTTTCAATTCATCCTTTTAAAATATGACAGCTCTTCCAACTCCGCTTTCGTAAATATCAAACTATTTCTATTGCTTGCTTTGTTACTTAATTCATGCATTGTAAATATATATGTGTATGCATGGTTTGGATTATCATTCTGTCTGTGGATGACTTTGAAATAAACGAAATTTTACAGTTCACTTCGCGTTTTGTTTTCATTCACATTTTTCATCTCGAGATATCTCGTTTCTTCAGAATTTGTTTTTACTCATCTTTTTAAATTGTCGGCTTGACATGGCTTTGACTTTCTCCTTACTTGAAAGAGACCACATCGTCCACATCGTCCACATGTAGTACATTAGACACGACGTTTAAAAACGTTCAAACGCAGCCAACAAAGAGTTCTTTCGTACATAGTTTATAGTTAATAGCTTTCCCGGGAGGAGTGGATAACTGAAAGCCAGGTTGATCTGCTGTTACGAATTGTGGTTTTATCGTGATTTTCATCAAGAAATTGCTTGCCGAATTCAAATACACACACATACATTTTCCTCAATTCTTTTCATCAGGAGGAGAGCGGAAATTGTGAAATTTTCCGAAAAGCGGTCAATTTCGGTAAATCTCAGCGGCAACGGACGAAATCCGCCATTTTTTTGGCGTCACCTGATATCTAAGGCCGCGCTTGAGATAGCCGCTCCAGTTATTATAGAACTCAATGGCTATTACCCATGTATATATGACATCAATTTTCATCATACATTACATTGTATGACTATCAAAAAATGCAAATGACTGTTCAACAAGTATTTACTAACAAAGCTCTAGCAAAATGCGTTGGCTATTATAAATGATTTCTTAACAACTTTCTTTCAAGTGCCTTTACGTAATTGATTTCTAATTAAAGGATTTTCAAGATATTAAAGTGCCTGCACAACCCGTTATACATCATCGCTGGTGTTTATAGTCGTCTTCACTTGTTTGATCGTCTTCTAGAATCCACTTCTTCATATACAACCACTTCTTCTTCGTCATCCAGAGAGCCGACACCAGATCACTTTTGAAGCATGTCAACATTCCCATGAAATAAATACTGGGGTTTGTCTTGTTGATGTACAATGAAAACCTTTTTTGGATCTACCAACATGCCAACTAAAGATCTCCATGTAAAAATCGCTTCACCATATTCAACATCAAGTACGTTTTCATGGTTAATAAAACTACTCAAAAAGTCAGTAATCTTGCCGTGCTGCTGAAAGTAGTGACTCCACGTATTTTCAATTTCAACAGCTGTTTGGCATGAACAATCATACACCAGCATGTTCATGAGTTTATATGGCCAAAACATGCCATCCTACAAAGCAATGAATAACCTCGCAGAAATTAGTTGTAATCAATCCCCTTTCTTGCATTCATAAAAAATATTAGATTAGTGCTTCATAGCATGTTTGACAATGTAAACTCTCATTTTATTTTTGCATTTTTTGTTGCAAGTGTTGAGAGAGTTAACTGTAAACACTTTTATAATATCTAGCTCATAAAGATTACCTTAAATACTTCAACATGACGACAAACATTTACGGTTGTGTGCATCTTTAATATAGAGTTCTCACAATACTTTGCCATTGGACCACAATCGCTGCATCTAAACTTTGCTTCATTATCACAATGAATACACTTCAGATTGCTCCAATTTTTGCCAGCAAACTGAAATGTATTCTTCATAATTGAATGTTGCAAATTTTCCCATGCTTTTTGTTTTCTTTCAACTTTCTGGTAATATGAAAATGATTCTTCACAATCATGGTGAACATCACTTTCAAGATCACTGTTATCTTGTTCCACTCCCAGTTCATGGCCTTCCAATGTCTACAATTATCAGGACTAAAAACAGCTTCCCTATGATCCTCAGTAAACCAATTCTGACAAATCCACCTCCTCTCTCTCAACATGGCCATCCTCATCAATGATATGTGACAGCTACAGTTGCTTTAAACCTTTATTGCTCTATAAAATTATCATAAAATCTATAAAATGATAATAAATGTTGAAAAGTCTAACAGCTATAGGTTGCATTTGTGTACTTACATCTTTTAAAATTTCCAGCAAGAAAATCACAAATCAGAAAATATTATCGATATTACCAATGACACAATAACATAAGTTAAAACAACCAAAGTACAACGTATGTATCTCCCACGACTACCAGCCGACGTTTTGTACCCGTACTTTACCGGCTTTTAGCCACGGTCTCATAAGACGAATAGGGTGATTTGTTTGGCTGGTAAAACGAAAGGAGTTTTTCTTCCGGTATATTGTAGAACGCCGCACTTGAGATATTATGTAGTTGGTTGTGTCTTGTAATCTTTCTGAATTTGTGAAGGTATTTTGATTTTAAACTTTACCTGTCGTTGTTATATTGTATTTTGATTTTGTGATTTAATGCTTCATGTCCATTTATCGATTATTTTGTTTTTCTGTAAAATATTCTACTCATGGTAAATGTATGTAAATGTTTTATAAAGATGTTTGTTTGATTTTGGTGAGATTTTGAACTAGCTCGAATCAATTTTGAAAATTATTTGTTAACTTTCATATATTTATATAATAATAAAGAAATAAATTTCTACTATATAATAGTAATGTTCTACATCGATACACATCATGTGCATGGTCACGAGGTAGTAGAGGAAATAAGATATTCATGGATTTCAGAAAAGCACTATTGCTAATGCGCATTTAATATACACGACAAGTTTTTTAAAATAGACATGTTTCGACATCTCATGATGCCATCTTCAAAGGAGTGAAATAATAAGTGATACAGGGTTTATATAAAAGTAACATGATACCTAAATTACAACAATAAAAGGAAATAAGATATATTAGTGGGGAGCGTCCGAGCGTATTATAAAATAAATATTATATTGAATATCATATTACTCTTACATAAACCTTGTATCACTTATTATTTCACTCATACTGAAGATAGCATGATGAGATGTCGAAACATGTCTATTTTAAAAAAAACTTGTCGTGTATATTAAATGCGCATTAGCAATAGTGCTTTTACGGAATCGTGTAATAAAAATTAATGCCCAACATAAAGTTTTGATTAGAGCCATAGAAATAGACCAAAAATATTGTAAAATTGAATTTTTTGTAACGTTTCATTTATCACTGTCCTTCACCTCCACCTGCCTCGAGCATCTCATGCCCTTCGTCTTTGCCTCATTCACTTTCAGTCCCTTGACTTCTATTGCCGTTTTCACTCGGTACCATTCCATGACTTTCTGCTTCTGACTCACCAAGACAATGCAATCTGCATACAACAAACACCAGCATCCTTCTTTCTTCAATTTCCTCTACATCCATCACACAAGCAAAACAGTAACGGCGACAAGATGAACCTTGATGAACACCAACTTTACCTCAAAAACACCAGATCTAACACCTTCCTCCGTAACCACCGCCTCTACACCTCATAAGTCCCATAACTGCCCGAACCATATTCTCTTTCACACCTTCTTACGCAGCGCGTACTCGATCACCTTTCTTTGAACTCTATCAAACGCCTTCCACTCAAACACCATATAACTTCTTCTGTCCTCCAAAATTTCTCCTGCAGCTGCTCAACACAAAAACACGCATCCGTCGTTCCTCCCCCGGTATGAATCCATACTGCTCTTCCCCATCCGAACAACTTCCCTCAACCTTCTCAAACACTCTCTCTACTATCTTTCAACGATTTCCATCAGCTTAATAGTCCTGTAATTCCCACATACCGTCGCTGCTCCTTTTCCTTTTATACAGCGGGACCATAGACTCTTTCTCCATGTACACGGCATCTTTGAGCCCCTCAAAAACCTCGTTCGCTGCATTACACAACTCTCACGCATAGTTCATTGTCCAACATTTCTGCTACTTCCACTTCACTCTTCGGTCCCTTTCTTCATCTTGCGTAGAGCTGCCGCCACCTCATCAACAGTCACTATTTCCCACAGCCCCAAAACTTCATCCGCCTAACTTCTCCATTCCACTCATTCTCTACATTCATCAAACGGTCACAGTACGCCCTCCACACTCTAACCTGTCTCCAATAACACCTTCAAACCCCATCGGTTCTGCACGCCGGAGCACCCAAAATATCGTTCCTCCTTCTGTCCTTCTGCCGTTCTAAAACAACGCTTTTCGTCCATTCTCCTGCATTTTACGAGCTCTTCTGATGCCTTTCATCGCTTTAGCCACCTGCTTTCGTGCCTTTTCTGAACCGGATGTAATCGATCCTATCTGCTTCAGTCCGCGACTTTCACCTTTAAATGCCAACTTCTGCGCTAATCACTTTGCTGACCTCGTTGATCCCACTTTCACCATGCCTGTTCTTTCTACTGCACCGCCTTTACTTCTTACAACATACCTTCTCCGCTGCCTTTAAACACCCTTCTCCGCACGTCCATCGTTCTCCACCGTCTCACCTCAGCATTCAATGTCGCAATTTCGTCATGAAACACTGCTTCCCTTCATCTGAACGTAACTTCCATAGCTTGCCTGCCTTTACCCTCAACCTTTCTCCTCTTCACCTTCATGATTCTCCAGTCCATGACCAGCAGCTTGTGCTGGGTCACACATTCTTCTCCTGCAATCACTTTTGCATCCTTCACGTTTTTCCTCTCTTCTTCATTCACCAGTATATAATCCACCACCGTCCTACTGTCACCAGATTCATACGCCACAAGCTTGCTTTCTTCCTTTATAAACCACGTATTCACTACCACCATCCCACAACTCGCTGCTAACTCCAAATTACTAGTAAAGGAGGCGGTGTCAAATGGATTATATGATAAGGAAGTTAGGAAGTAAAATAAAGAGAAATTAAAAGAGGTTAAGTCGAATGGAGTTTCCTTGCACGTTAAGTGAAGGCTTGTATTTATTGATTAGAAGGCTCTCATGAATGGAGAGTTCATAAGAATCGTTAGAAGAGGAAATTATTTTAAAGTCGTCTAAGTTGGGGGTGTTTCCAGTTGCGTTAATGTGAGGAAAGATGCTTGATAACGCAGGGTGGGAAACTTGGTTGCCTGTAAGGGGGGATAATCCCAAGGGCTCCGAAAATCTGGTGTGTAGATGACGTGTGGTCACCGCATGTGTGGTCACCGCATCTTCAACCTTTGTTCTACTTACGAAAATTTTCATACACAACTCGAATTTACCAGAAAGTCACTCACAAAAAACGGTTTTCCTTCACGTATAATTGAATTTGTGTTAAATTTGTTTTCCGCCCTTCCCAACGTATCTCTTCTTTCTTCCCCTTTAAGGACAAAATTCCCAAACCTCTGAGATCTGGTGTAGTCTACTTGTTCAAGTGTCGAAGCTGCAACGCCTCGTATGTGGGTCAAACCACACGTCATCTACACACAAGATTTTCGGAGCACTTGGGAATATCCCCTCTTACAGGCAACCAAGTTTCCCACCCTGCGTGATCAAGCATCTTTGCTCACATTAACGCAACTGGACACACCCCCAACTTAGACGACTTTAAAATAAGGTCCTCTTCTAAAGATTCTTATGAACATCCATTCATGAGAGCCTTCTAATCAATAAATACAAGCCTTCACTTAACGTTCAAGGAAACTCCATTCCATGTAATCTCTTTTAATTTCTCTTTATTTTACTTCCTAACTTCCTTATCATATAATCCATTTGACACCGCGTCCTTTAGTAGTAATTTAACACCTTTTTGTAAATATAATATCTTGTCTTAACATCCTATTTATTATTTGTCTGAAGATGTCTTGAGTAAAGACGAAACGTTACAATAAATTCAATTTTACAATTTTTTTGGTCTATTTCTATGGCTCTAATCAAAACTTTATGTTGGGCATTAATTTTTATTACACGAATTCGAATTCCTGCTCGGCAAGTCTCTCGCTACTATTTTACGAAATGTTGCCCTACTTTTACGGTGTATACCCATTTCCCCCCCATTATGTCTCTGTTTGGTGGGGGTAGAACAAGTTCAAACGTATCATTTTCAATTAACGGTTTCATTTTATCATTCATGGCTTTTTGCCATTTTACTTTTTCATTGGAGCTTATTGCTTGGGAATAGGTCGTTGAGATGTTGGATACTCTGTAGCAATAATCTACGGTATATGAGACAGTATCCTCCCCTGAAACTTCTTTTGTCACATACTCGTCAAGATATTTACTCTTACTTCTTATCCTAGTGGGGTATCTTGATTCTCTAGATGTCTCTGGAGCACTAATGTCTTCGTTAGTTGTTTTGGGTTTTCTTTCATGCAATTTTGCTATCTGAGGTGCAAGTTCTTTATCATCTAGTTCTGGCAGTTACCTGCTACCCTCCCTGATAAACTTAACGCATCTTACACGCTCTACCTTGTTAATGTCAGGGTAGTATAGTAGATATGCTGGATTATTTTATCATACCCTACGAAAATACCTTGTTTACTTCTAGGGTCTAACTTTTTGGAATTTTGTGAAAAACCATAACAAACACGACCAAAAATGTGCATTTTTCTCAAGTCTGGTTTTGAGCCTGTAAACGCTTCGAATAAAATTCCATCCAACCTCGAATTAAAACAACGATTCCTAATATAAGCAGATGCCATGACGGCATATGTCCACATAGATTTTGGTACTTCCCTTTCTGGCAATAGACACCTAGCCATGTAAAATAAAGTTAACCACGATCTCTTAACTGTGCCTTTCTGGTGTGGCGAATATGGTGCACTAGTTTCATGCCTAATTTTGTTCCCTAACAATCGATTTGAATTTCTCGCTTGTAAATTCAGTGCCGTTATCACTTCTTATGCGTTTCACATTTCCGTAAGGTGCAACATTTGCTAAAAACTGTTTTAATGCTTGTGGTGTATCACTTTTATGCTTAAGAAAATAGACCATATTCAATCCTGAATAATCATCCACAAACGACAATGCATATCTAAGCCCTTCTCTTCCTTCCGGATCAATAGGACCTGCAAGATCCGTGTGAATAAACTCAAGAGTACCTCTCGCCTTTTGATCTTCCAGCTTACTTTTCGTCTGACACATTTTACCTTGCGTACAAGCCATTACACTCAACTTCCCTCAAGGCTGTGATTTTCATCCCCTTAACCCCCTTCTCTAGTTTCCTAACATCCTTGTAGTTGCAGTGACCTAGAACCTTGTGCCACTCGTAAAGAGAACATGCATTTTTATTCGAAGATGATATGCTATTTATATAGTAAAATTTGCCTTTTTGTCTTATTTCAAACGTTGTGCCATCAGGGCACTGTACATGCTTATCGTGTTTATCTAATTTGACTTTTGCCTCCTTTTCTACGGCAGCATTTACTGAGAATATATTTTGATCGTCAGATGGAACATATAAGGCATTACTTAATAAGACATCCTGCGCATTTCCATGCAAGTCAACTAATTTGACTTTAGCAGTACCTTTACCAACTACTATGTTGGCTTTACTGCATCTGCTAATTCAATAACATGTGTCAAATTTTGGTTTCACATACATAACGTTGTCACCTACCTCACTTTTTGGTGACAATGGTTTGATATTTTCTTTATGACTTCGTAACGAGTTTTTGAATTCCGTAAATGTCATTTGTCTTTCCTTTTGAACTATTACGGTAGCAAAGACGTCGTACGTGCTTGGCAGACCCTTTAAAACCATTGCAATGAGTAGTGCATCACTTATTATCTCTTAGGCTTCTCTTAAGGCTGTTGCTGATCGTTCCGCTCGCAATATATAATCTGTGACAGTCTCGTCGTCACTTTTCTACAGCGAAGTGAGTTCCGTGTAAAGAGCGATAATGCAAGGTTTTTCTCTGCCTTTATAGTGCTATCTGAGGAATTCTAAAGCTCTACGTCCATTTTCTTTCGCCTTCCGAATCACAAGAGACAAACCTCTGTCGTCCAGACATTGGTATAACTCTGCAAAAGCGTGAGTCAGTTAGAGAAGTTTGTGTGTCAGTTAGACAAATTATTAAACACCTTCCTAAGAGATAATACAACTCAGTCCCTCCATTTTCATTCTAACATGCAGTGGCGTCGCTAAAATGGGGCGTTAAAGGGGGCACGTGCCCTCTAAAAATTGGCTGTGCCCCCCAATTGCCCTCTATTAGAAATTTAGATAAGAGTCTTTATATGCATCTTTAAAATTTAAAAAGAAGCCCATGGCATAGATGTAGCTCATAAGGGAAGCATTTCATTGCCTGTGCAGACTAGTTTGCAATGTATATATCCTTTCTGGGTTGTTAGCCAAGTGGTAAAGACTTTAATTTCTTTAAACTAAAAAAAAACTAAACAATGATTCTATAATAATTCAAGTCTCTAGAAGGCAAAGAAGAACAAGTAATATTGTGATGCTTATCATAAACCACATTACACCATATCATAGAACTTGTATGAGATCGTGGACAAGTATACTCGTAGACTCAAACTTGTAGACACAAAAATACAAATATAGCAATGACTAAGAGTAAGGCTCATGAAAATACTGCAATTCTGGAAGTATTATAATATGAAAACATTTCATTAAAATCAATAATCAATCTACGTAACGTTATAACACGAAGAATGTACAAATCCGCCAAGGTTAAACTGGGAAGTTAAAAAATTGAAACTATTCATGTTGTGATAAATATTTCAAAATTTCCAGTGCAGAAGCAATTTTAAGGCCATTTCGCTAGCGACTGACGTGGTGCAAATTTTGTGCCCCCACTCGCAAAATCCTGGCGACGCCACTACCAAAATGTAGCCAAATGCCTAAATGCAGGAAAACTAAAATGTCCAATTGCGTTGTTTTCAGCTGCCATCCTCGATATTCATTTACACGTACAAGTAAAACTGTAACATTACGTAGCTATGTTTCATCTTCAACAATTTTAGTTGTCTATAAACTCTAATTAAAGAACCAATTTACGATAATATTAATAATTTTATGATCCTTAGATGCAGTCAAGGGAAGAAATTAATAACTCCTCTCTGCAGAAAGTACTTACAGATGTTGAAAAGAAACTTGTTGATCTTTTTATCCAAGAATGGAACACTCATTACAAACAATCTCTTGGAGAATGGGAAAATACAAACGTCAGTGGTCAGAAATTGTTCAACATTGAAAGATCAAAAAAAATATTTCGCGATGAAAAAATATTGTCAAAACTTAAAGATGGTGACACAAGTAAGTGGGATTGCACGACAATATGTAAAGCAATATTGTTTACCCACTCAATTGGAACAAACATTAATGATAAAGTTAGAGCTGCTGTGGAAAAACTTCGTGATGTAAGAAACAAATTTATCCATGAAAATAAAGGAAAAGTTTCTGATTCGAAATTTCATACAATGGTTTGTGATATTGAAAACTCATTTCAAGATTTAGGATTTTCGTTCACAGAAATTATCAAAATAAAAAGTGAACGAAACGTATTTTATTCTTTTCAAGTACTTCCTTGCAAAGCAAATCACGATGTGGTTAAACGTACAGAGTTACTTAATCAAATCACAGCTGATCTCAATAACTTGCGCAGTACTAACAATAATGAACTAACATATTACTATATTTCTGGTAATCCTGGCAGTGGTAAATCTCAATTAGCTAGACAAGTTTGTGAAGAAATGTATAACTCGTTTGACTGGGAAAAGAATACGACATTTGTGATGACACTCGAAGGAAAAGATATCGACTCTCTTTGAAAACTTATGCTGAACTTTATCAACGATTAAGCAATGATAAAACTGTCATTGAAAATATTCTGAAAAGAAGCAAAAGCAGCGAAGACAAAATTAAAGATTTACAATTATTGCTGACACAGCAATTGAAATCTTGGCAAACATGGTGGATTGTTGTAGATAACGTGGTTGAACTTCATAAAATTTATCCATTATTACCTCAAGTTGGTGATCATAGCTGGGAAAATGGACAAATTATAGTAACTGTCCAAAATACAGATGCTATACCACCAGATGGAAATCTAAATAAACACATTTCAGTTAGTCATGGTATGAACAATGAAGAATGTCGAGAACTTCTATCTGTCTTTTCTGATATTCATAATAAAGATGAAAAATTTTAAAGGATTTATCAGACAAATTAGATCGTCAACCGTTGTTCCTGGCAAATGCTGCTTCCTACGTAGGTAGTGTAAAAGTGTAAATCCGACATTCACGTGGGAGCAATATTTTGATAAGTTGAATGAAGGAGAGCGACAGAACATGGATGGCAATTTTCAAAAATAAACACATCTTACTTAGGAATGAAAACTGTTATGTTAGCAGTACAAAAAATGCTGAAGAATCCATCTTGTTGGAACATGTTTTAAACTTTTCTCAATAATATCTTTCGATCCCTTACCACAAGATGTTATAATACATTTATTAAAAGCATTGATCCACAAAATCTGCAGAAGATGTCTGTCTTCAATTAAAGCATTGTTCTTTATTCCTTCAAACGGAAAACAACGACATCCGCCTGCACAGCGTTGTACACGAAGCCATCATAAATTATTCATCGCAGACCTTTGGCTGTAAACAAAACGAAAATAATTCTAAAAGTCTGCAGCTGATCTTGCCTGTCAAGTTGCTTGGGCACTAAATCATTTTGAAGACAGAGAAGATGAAATCAAAATAATTCCACATCTAATTAAATTCATAACAAATTCATCATTTCAACATTTCCTAAATAAGTTGATCGATGTAAAATCATCAAAAAAAACTTGATGAAAGAAATTGGAAATTTGCCAAATATTTTGTAGATGTTTTGAAAAGATTTTGCAACTATAAACTTGCAACTAAAGTACTTTATGAAATAACAGAAATTCAAACTAAAGTGTTAGGTGTTGATCATATTGATGTTTCATATTCGTACAACGAGCTGGGTGTATTGCTTTGGAAGAATGGAGAATATGAAAATGCTAAAGATTTTCTGAACGAGCAATGGAAATTCAAACAAAACATTTGGACCTGACCATGTTAATATTGCGACAACGTACAACAATCTGGGTTCGGTTTACAATAATATGGGAGAGTGCGAAAAAGCAAAAGATTTTTATGAACGAGCGATAGAAATTGAAACGAAAGCATTTGGACCTGACCATGTTAATATTGCGACAATGTACAACAATCTGGGTTCAGTTTACAGCAATATGGGAGAGTACGAAAAAGCTAAAGATTTTTATGAACGAACGATAGAAATTCAAACAAAAGCATTCGGACCTGACCATGTTAATATTGCGACAGCGTACAATAATCTGGGTTCGGTTTACAGTAAAATGGGAGAGTACGAAAATGCAAAAGATTTTTATGAACGAGGGATAAAAATTCAAGCAAAAACATTTGGACCTGACCATGTTAATATTGCGACATCGTATAACAATCTGGGTTTGGTTTACAATGATATGGGAGAGTACGAAAAAGCAAAAGATTGTTGTGAACGAGCGATGAAAATTCAAACGAAAACATTTGGACCTGACCATGTTAATATTGCGACAACGTACAACAATCTGGGTTTAGTTTACAATGATATACGAAAAGCAAAAGATTTTATGAACGAGCGATAGAAATTAAAACGAAAACATTTGGACCTGAACATGTTAATATTTGGACAACATACAACAATCTAGGTTCGGTTTACAGAGATATGGGAGAGTACGAAAAAGCAAAAGATTTTCATGAACGAGCGATAGAAATTCAAACGAAAGCATTTGGACGTGACCATGTTAATTTTGCGACAATGTACAACAATCTGGGTTTAGTTTACAATGATATGGGAGAGTACGAAAAAGCAAAAGATTTTTTTCAACGAGCGATAGAAATTGAAACGAAAGCATTTGGACCTGACCATGTTAATATTGCGATAAGGTACAACAATCTGGGTTTGGTTTACAGAGATATGGGAGAGTACGAAAAGGCAAAAGATTTTTATGAACGAGCGATAGAAATTCAAACAAAAACATTAGGACCTGAACATGTTAATATTGCGACAATATACAACAATCTGTGTTTAGTTTACAATGATATGGGAGAGTACGAAAAAGCAAAAAACTTTTATGAACGAGCGATAGAAATTAAAACAAAAGCATTTGGACCTGAACATGTACTGCAATAATATACAACAATCTTTATTTAGTTATAAACAAACTAAAGATATGGAAACTGAAGCATTTGGACTTCTACTTATCTTTTACTTGCTAGAAGCTAAAATGCTCCTGTCTTTGAGAAAACTTAAAGGAGATAGAAGAAAAGGGAAATAAATTTGTAACTCATTTTTAATTAAAAAGAAAATGAATTTCTCTTCTCATTTTAGGTATGTCTTCTTTATACTAAAGCTGATTAAAAACAGTTGTATTGTAGATTTCTTTTAACAAAGGCTCAAAAAACAACAGTTGTACTTTTATAAAAGATATAAATATATTATTGACAATATTCAAACATTTGTATTTTCAAGTTTTCAACTATCATTTATTTAATGGAACAGTTTTTATTGAAAAACTTGTATGGAACAATCAAAGTATATTTATGAGTTTAGTTTGCAATATCTAGCTATTCAGAAGTTGTGAAGTTCCTTAAAATAAATGTTGGGTCATTTTCTTGTATAATGAGAGTAAATACTGATCTTACAGCAACCATGATCATGTAACATCCCTTTTTGAAATGCTGAAAAGCCCACACGATTTGCTTTGCTATATAAGTATGAATACAGTCTTTTCTATATTTATTTCTATTCATTCATATGATTTATAAAATATAATTTGCAATTATGAGAATTGTAGTTGTTTGAAATGGACAAGCAGTTATTGTTATTTGATTTAATCATACTTGATTTGGGGACTAAAACCTTAATGGTCGGGACAATGTTTGTTTTTTTTTACTTTGGAGGAAAATTTATTTAATGATTGATTCAATAATACTTTTTTATAGTTCAAACTGTAAAGGCAATGTAAAGTAAAAGTAATAAAGAACCTGAAGAAGAAAAAGCAGGATATCATTGCCATAGCATCCACAGAAGTGAACATGACACATTTAACTGTTCGACTGCCAGATTTTAGACTACCAGATTTACTAATATATAAAAAATCCCAGCAGTGGCCCAGGATACTTGTTAATTGGGGGGAGGCACAAATTCATACATGCATGTCTTAATCTGTTGAAAACAATGGATTTCAAAGGAACTTAATGTGGCAGAACATGAATTTATGAATACGTGCTTCCTACCCAAAATAAAGAGTCTGCTATGCCATTTATTCCCAGGGCATATTAAAGAGCTCTGGCATTGTGTGTAACGGTTAGTATTTCATTTTGCAAGGAACTTCTTATTTTTTTTCCAAAACATTATTTGAACATTAGAGAAATTGTGTACAAACTATAAAAAGTTTATATTAGGAATATAATTCTAGGGAAACACTCTCCTTTAAAGTATGTATCCATGTTCAGAAGTGAGTCATTTCTACTGGTGTCTTTACTACTGATATGGACAGTACTGAGTCATTTTCATTGCTATGACATTCATGTCTTGCTTTTGCTATAGTTTATACTTTACATTGCTTTGAAACTCATTCTCCTAGCTACATAAATGATTTTACCACAAAATCAAAATACAAAATGTTGTGGTTATCTCTGATCCCAAGAAAACCTAATATAAATCAAAAATAATATTTACTACATTTAAATGTAAGCAAAAGAAGAACATTGTCACAACAATTAAGGGTTAAATCAGCAACCGTAAATAGAAAGAAATATTGAATCAAGTAACTAAAAATTATTGACCTTCTCTCCACACACAATTCTTTTAAATTCAAATTATATTTTACCATTTATCACAGTGAACAGAAATTTGTATATTTACACAGCAAAGCCAGTGTTTGGGCTTTTTAGAAAACTTACTAAGCATTATGAACTTTACATGTAAATAATGTACATGTTAAGACTTTTCTTTTTAAACAACAAAAAGAACCAAAGAAACACTCCATTTAAACCTTTGCCTACAGAAATTGAAAATACAACTGTTGCTGGTCAGCTAAAGGAGAAAGAAAACATACACAAAAGCCTGGGCTAACAAAGCATCTTGTTCCTTGAAATGGAGCCACAAATCCATTCCTTTCTGTAAAGACTAAACACAATAAAAATCCTTTGCTGACAAGCGTTTTGATAGATCTGGCATTGGTGACTACCTGACAATATAATTTATCTTTATATATGTTTTAGGTAGTGATGTAGCCAAAAAAAATGGGGCTTTTACTCTAATTATGTGTGTGGCTCATATTTACTGTTGTCATTTTATATGTAGTGTAGTGAGTAACGAAAAAGTAATTGAACAATAAAATATTTATTTTCATAACACTGGTAGACTTGCTATACACTACGAGTTGTCAAGGTGTTATTAAAGATCTGAATTCTAATATTTTCCTTTGATGCTTTTTTTTATTTTCCGTAAATTATACACGTTTATAATAAAATATAGATTTAACTTGATTTCTCGAAAGGGGAAGTTTGAAGTAAAAAAAAGTACAACTTTTGTGCCAACGGAATTTGATGCAACTTTTTAAGTATGTATGGCATTTTGATTCATTCATTTTTCATCTTTTTTGCGCACTATTTTGAACATAAAAGACGCAGCATTTATTAAAATGGAATTCAGATTAAGACTGTCTATTTCTGTGCCAAGGTATTTATAAACTTCCTTTATATGGTAAGTTCTCATAACCTAACTAAAGGATTGTATCACATAAGCCAAGTCGTTGAAATATATTAGGAATAATGAAGGACCCAGAATAGAAACCTGTGGGCTTCCTGAGAGACTTTCTTCTTTCTGTGATATAACTCTTCATTTTATAAAGCGAATATATAACAAAAGAGAGACGCAAAGGTATAGAAACTGGTGTAGACCCAATAGTAAACAAAAACATAGACAAAAAGGTAACACAAATAAAGGCAAAAAGATATACAAAAAGATACACGAAAGATTGACAAAAAGACGAAGACTAATGGAAACAAAAAGGTAGACACAAAAGTAGACGTAAAGACTAAAGTCAGACAAAAACATTATAATGTGAAAGGATTGTCGTTTCACAAAAAGATAAATTACTATTTTTTTCATTTCCTTTTAGACATTTGGACCAACAAACTGAAAACAGTTAAGCTTGTTTCGGAAGAAAAAGAATGGACGATATTAACCATCGTATCTAGCTAATTTTCAGGCTTTCTGAGAAACATCCCCAGTTTCAAGTCGACGACGGCAAGCACAGAAGCAAGATTGGCCATTTCTTACAACTGTGCATGTCGCACACGGCATGAAATTGAAAATATTGACTGCAGTAAGAAAATTTGGATTTTTATAATTTGTTTTTTTTGATAAAGATAAATTCCATGGTTTTATTCCACATGATTTTTGAATTAATAAATGTCGAAATTTAGGCGTTTTATAATGGCGTAATTTTATTCATCTGTAAAGAAAATGAAATTGTGTAAACTTACAATAGTTAATTTAAACACCTAAGATAAACATAACTTTCTCATGAGTTTATTTTGTTGCTGTAAAAATCTCACCATCATAAATCGTTGGTTAAAAGTGACTTGTCTTTCGAACAGTTGTTGAGACAAGAATCGTGATCTAAGAAAGAAAAATGCTCAGGAAAACGTTTTAAAACATCCAAAGGCCAATAAACTGCATTTGACTTGAAGACACTGGAGATTGAAACGTTGCTAAAGAACAAAATCTTTTGAGTTGTCATTCATAGCTTGCCATGTAAACGGCCTGGTGAACTCACAATATATATAAGTCTTGTAAAATTACTGTCAAAAACGATGAAGGAGGAAAAAGATACTTACTATCTTAATATTTCCTCAGTTATAAAGCAGTTCGACCGAAGTAGAACTGTGTGCAAGAAGTAGTATACATGGAACATGATAATACAAGCAATGTTCAAAGAGAATACCAAGTCTGGTAAAGAATCATTTCCAATTGGGTAGTATGATGTAATCATGCAGGATGTATCACATACCAATGAGAACATACACATCATTGATGAATGCATAAAACTGTATGCATTATTCTTAGCTTTTTCCACAGCTGTTGCAATATGCCTGTGCTATTCACATACTGAAAGGGAAGTATCAAACAAACACAAAGCAAATACATTTTGAAAACATGTAAATGCCCCATCCTTATGTATTCTATGAATTAATGGATGGTGAGCATAATATTCTGCATTCTGAAAAAATTCAATGCTGGTAAGGCAACAAAGATAGAGTGAAAAAATTTCATTCCCTACCATTGAAATGGAGCATGCATTCAGCCAGTGTACTAAACATAAAGAAGTATTTGCAATATTCAAAGAAAGAAAGTGATAAATACCAAATTTAAATTTACTTTCAAGCTACATAAAAATGATGAGAGTACTTGGTGTATGTTATAAACACATATTTTGATAAATCAGAGAAAATGTCATGAATAAGGTGTTTTCAGTGGAGCTGGTTGAAGATGTTTGTATAAAAATCCAAATAGTTTAAAATAGTAAGTGGATTTACTGCACAGTCGAGAGTCAAAACTATATAGGTAGTATATCATAGCACTTTGATGTCACATGAAAACATAGTGAGACCCTGTGTATAAAATAACACAAGCACCAATTACTAACATATACTTCATGACATCTATAATCATAAATAATGTTACTTTATTTGTTAGACAATTTCTTTTTTAAGGTTAATGGTCAGGTTTCTTAGGTATATTATAGTTTGAAAACACTGTAAAATACACAATTAATCAATTCATCGTGCATTATTCAATTTTTTGCCAGACCAAGAAATGCATAATATAGTTACCAAGAATCATAAATATACTATCATCATGTATTCTAGCCTAAAACAATAGAAGACTCATAAATATTTTAACATAAAATAATTAAGAAAAGGAACCTTTTATTTTGATCGTTCTCTCTGACTCTTAGGAAACTGTAGTTTTCAAAATTCGCACAGCTGCAATTTAATCTGTTTCAGGGATGGTATTTATTCTTTAATCATTTTTTTCTTTAATCTTCTTTGATGATTTAAGAAGATTTAAATCAAAACTAAAAATTATCTTTAACTTTCCTTATGTCTGGAATAGTGTTTATCCAATGTCACATCAAAATATTAAATAAAGCGTATTTTCTCCATGGTTCACTTGTGCATTCACTATGTATTATAATGATGTCTTGATGAGAATACAGAGCCTGGTGACTCGTTAAAATCTCAAGATGGTGGCGCAAGGTAAAAATTTATACTTCATATTTGCATTTTAGCACTATTGAATATTTAGCTCATGAATAAATAATTCGTTTTTGACTTTTTCTTCTGTCATTTCGTTGTAAATTAGAGCTATTTGAGATCAACTGCTATTTGCTTTTCATTTTTTTAGTTTAATCTACTGTTGCAAATAAAATATTATATAGAGTACTAGTGCCAACAGATTCAGTAAGCAATTAAAACAATCTTTTTTGCAACCAATTAAAATTCGAACGATACCTACAAAGCCACAAATCTATACAATTGTAAGGAGTAGGATTAGGAAAGGATGCTTTGCCTTACACTCCACCTTTTGGTCTTTTTTAGAGGGGGGCTAAAATTTACATAATTAATATTTTTATGACTAAAATATATGAGATTTAGCAAACCGGTACACAACATATTTCTTGATACTTGCAGCCTTGGAGTTACACTCATATATATGCGCTATATATGCGGCTGTAATCAAAATGATACTCACATGTAAACAATCGACGAAGGTTTTTAACAATAATTTTCAATCATCAATCTGCATTTGTTGTCAATATATTGTCAGTGTTAAGGTATTTAAAGCATTTAGAAACTATAAACGTTCCAATCTGATATATTTCTTGCATTTTGCTCGTATCGATTGTAAGTTATAATATGTTGTGAAAGATTAATTATTCAATTTTATGACTGATGCACTCGCATCAGTTGCACCAGCCTGGATCCGCCCCTGATGGATAGGATGGGTTCTGTTGGGCGCCTTGAGTCAGACTTACATGACGAATTTGCCTTGTTATCTAGGCAACAAAATGAAGATGAAATTTCCCGTTAATTTTCAAAGGACACAAACTTACACGAAAATATGTTTACGCCACATGAGTTTGTTATGAGAGATGCTAATGGACTTGAGGATAATAAAACAGATTATTCATCTACGGAATCAGAGGAAAGATCTAAACTTTTCATTACTCTTTAGGATAAACTGACGAGCCCCACAAATTGTTGTAGACGAATCCAATGTTTATGCACAACAGAGAAAAATGCGATAGGACTTGTTTTCAGATGACATACTTTGTCGTAGTTTGTTGTGTTTCATTGTTCTGCAGTATGAATACATAAATCATGATTATCAATAAATTGGTTTTTATGGATGATACGATTGGCGAATTGTTGTAAAAATCGGATTTGAAACACTTTCCAGCCAACTAAAACAGCATTTTACTGACTAACTGCCACAAAGGAACTTACTCAAATCACAACAAATTATGTCATCTGAAAACCAGTGCAGAAATAGCACATTAATGTAAGTTCCAGATCCTTATCATTTTGTCCTTTTCTCAATCTGTTTCATTAGTTTTCATTATTTGTAAGGACTGGAGAATTTGGCTAAGGATGACGCGATTGTTTTTTATGCTTGCCTGTATAATGTGTGAATCGATGATGAACTGTTAAAAAAATAATAAATATTACGAGGGATATAATTCCACGTTGAATAATTTTAGCTGTAAGTCAAATTGTAACAGTTTAATCATAAAATGTTTATATATGAGTGTTTATTCATTAAACTGTCTTTCAATGCAAACAGTCGTCACTATATTTTTCCGACACGCAGTTGCCTTCTTTCATTTAAGCTGCGTTTGCGCTATTTCGGATTTGCTCATCACAACATCTTCATTTGCTTTAAAGGGTAACTGTTTGGATTAAATTCTTATTAAGTTGATAGATTTAATTTATTTAATTGTGTCTGGGGTATTGGACCATATCACCGACTTTTAACACATAGAAAATTAAACCTTCCTTGGTAGCAATCCAGTGCAATGTAAACGATGTCTTAGTTTAAGTAAATTATTGGCTAAATCGGTTGAGAACATGTAAACCGCTTTAACCAAGGACAATTTTTTAAACCATCTGTGAAAAATTCGACAAGACCACGACAGTGTTATTGGCGCAATCTGCCTATTTAGAATTTGTTTATGAAATATTCTTGGTGCTTATTTTGCGTCAAGACTGCCATGTTTGGATCAATGCAAATGAATATTTTATGATATTGTTGCCTGCGTTGGTGAGCCACATTATTTGATAATTCCCTGGAGGTTGGTTGGAATCCAAGAATATGTACTTAAAGTTGCATATAGTATGTTGAGTCTTACCACATGATAAAAATTAAACAGAAGGGCCACTCTTTAGAAGTGTACACCGCGTTCTCAGGTCCCCCATCATTCCGGAAAGATAATTAGGGTTTTTCACTTGTTTCCAACCACTGCAATTACACGACGTCATTTCTTCACAATAAAATCAAAAATACTTCAGTATATCAAATGACGTCGTACCACTTCAGTAGTTGGGAACAAGTGAAGAGCCCTAAATATCTTGCTGGAAAAATTGCTGCCGATATGCGCAGCACAACATACGAGAGGAGAAAAAAAAAGGCCCGACACTAGCGACCCTTCTCCGCGTATGCCAAGTCAACTCTACCAACTCTTCATGTTCATGTTCATAGCAACGACTAACTGTATGTACCAGCACCAACTATCGAGGATTAGCTCGCTCAGTCACATATTTTCAGATGAATCATTTGCGCATGTGCACTCAACTTGACCAACTGCCCAAGTAGATGGTCATGGCAACGACCAACTGCATCCACACTCCATCAACTAGCACCGATTTTGACCTAAATAGCATGCTTAGTAACAAATTAATGAAGAAATCATCCGGAGTGCTTTAGCGCATGCGCAGTCCACTCCACTAACTGTTTATAGTCATGGCAACGACTAACCATATGTACTTGCACTAAAGTTGTGGCATTTAGCTCACTTAGTCGCAAATTATTGAAGAAATCGTCTGGGCATGCGCAGTAGTGACTTCAATAATACCACAACTCTCGTAAGGCTTTGAATTTATGTATATAAATATAAAGCTAAATATATGTTTAATATATGTCAACTAGCAGTGGAAGCTGGGTGCGATATGTATGCAGTGGCTTAGGGGTCCAGACGTTTCGGGTCGCGACCGCACTCTCCCTGCGTACCCGAGCAAAGCCTATCGCAGGTGATCTCGGCGTCTGATGGGCGGAAGCTTGCTATTGACATCCCCAAGTAGGATAGCGTGGAAGGGGCCGAAATCTCCTACCGAAACGTTAACATGCAGTGTTCTAGTGCCTTACGCTTAAGAAGGTATCGGGAAGCATGGACCGAAAACGGGGGTTTTTTGCTTTTGAGTTCTATCTTTTTGTTTACAAAACTTCTTCTTATTAAATAAATCAAGCAACGTTTCAACTAACTTCTTTTGACACTGTGCCTTTATTAGGACGACGTTAAACGTTT